ATGTGACCACTATCTAATTTGTACCGGGAACACTGCTTATCCAATGGCCAGACACTATCTGGCAGCATCGGAGAGTTACAGATATGGAGGCCGTAGTTTTGTCTCAGAAGTGTTGGAAGAGTCAGATGCCTCAAGCTACGAGAGGTACGTACTGGATCTACAGCTGCTAAGCCATGCACAAGTCACCAACAGAAACTGGGCTTTTGTAACAGCAGAGATTAGATGCTAAGTGTGGTTCACTGATAGATGTCAGTGGACAGGACATGTTGTGAGCTGCTGTATTTTCTGTCAAACACAGTGCAGTGTGTGACTTTCTGTGCTGTATTTTGGTCCATCTTTGCCTGTTTGTTGAAACACTATGTTCCACCACAGGCCAACAAGCACGACGCACAGCGCATGCTCGCCGACCAGATACTATGTGTGGAGCAGACTAACCCGGACTCTTTACTTATTGTCCTCTGTGACTTTAACAAAGTGAATCTCAGCCATGAACTCCCCAAATACAGACAGCTTATAAAACGTCCAACCAGACAGGAGAGTACTCTGGATCACTGTTACACTACAGTAAGCTGTGCCTGTCATGCCGTCCCCCATGCTACACTGGGACCCTCTGACCACGTGATCGTCCACCTGATTCCTGCATACAGGTAGAAATGAAAGCTCAGTAAACCTGTGGTGAGGACATCAAAGCAGTGGATCAGTGAAGCTATGGAGGACCTTTAGGTGAATTTGGACTGTACATCTCGTTATCCAAGTGTTGCTAGTTTATAATACTTGTGTGAATTGTGTTTGTGTCATGGTTTTGGGTTTTGGTTGTTTATTTGTTCCTGTTTATCCTTGTTCATGCCATTCCCTGTGTTTGTGGTGTCACTCCTTGCCTCTGTGTTCTTGTTCTGTTCCCGGGTGTTTATAATGCATGAGTTCTGTGTTCTCTGTTTTCTGTTACACTCATCCTGGTTTATTGTTGCAAGCTTTCCTTCCTGTTTTATGTTGTAATCGTCAGGTGTTCGTTTCTAGCTTTGTTCCTGTTGTGTCTGATTAGTCCCTCATGTCTTTCACCTGTTCACTCCCTCCCTGCTCGTTTGCCCTGGTATTTAATGCTGCGTTCCAGACCGGTCAGAACTGGGAAATTTCCAAGTTGAAATATCCAACTTCCAAACTCAAAGTGTTTCAGGTGCATGACGCTAAATGTACCTAACCATGACAATCATATGTTTCTTTGGCAAGTTAATTCACAGTTAAACACTCAGCAGTGCAGTTGCCTGGAGCGCAGTATAAGTACTCAGTGCTGTCTCAGGTAACCTCATATTTAGAGATTGTTTTATGTTTTTATGGTAGGCTTACTTATAGTGTACTGTATGCACTGGTTACATTTTATTTTATTTTCGTGTGTGTATCTTCTGTGTATTTGTGTTGTTATTCTGATCATTGTATGTATGTTTTTATCTTGTGCCCTGACTACAAATCGAGTTTCCCACTTGGGATAATAATAAATGAACTGAACTGAACTGAACTGTTCTGTCTTTATTGCGTCCTTGTCGTCGTATGTTGAGTGTTCTGGCTGTGCTCTGTTCACGGTTTCCGTGGCTTGGATTATTTCTGCCCCATTCGGATTTTCCGTTGTTGGGCCTTTGCTACTGACCCATGTAAGCCTGTTTTAGTTTTGGTAAAATAAATTACAGGATCTGCATCCTGCTCGCCTTTTTCTGCATTTGGGTCCACACCTCCACTTTACCTGCATCTGCTCTCAGCCAATTCCTGACAGTTTGTTTGCACTAGTTTGTGACTCAATGGTTATTTAAAGGGTAAATTCAGGATTTTTCAACCTTTTCCACATATGTGGGTGTTGAAATGACTAGTAGGTACAGAAAGTTTTGAATCCATGCAGTAGATGCTTTAGCTGGCAGCTGAACCAGCTACAGTGGCTGCAGTGTATTCCTTCGGGGCGACTACGCCCATCAAAATGACGTAATGTTTTTTACCAATTTGCTGGTGCATGGTTGTTTATTATTTAAATAATAAAACCATTCAGTATTTGTTATATTTTGATTTAGAAAGTTAGGGAAGCAATATTTAAGTGAAGCCTGATGTTTCCTTACACACAAACTATGCTACTATGTTATGTGCTCTAGACCTGGATTTTTATGCCACACTGTAACTGTTAATGAAGGCAGCTTTGTTGAGTATCTGCCAAATAACTAAATTGATTTTTATTGCAAATTCTTCATGTTTTCTGCTACACTGGAATACCCAGATCCCTCTGCAATACAGTTCTTGTCACTGCAAACAAGTAAAATTAATTTTCTTCTTACCAGCGTTGAGAAGTAACTGGTTTAACTACACTTCCCAGCTTCTTTGGGGTAGTGCTGTTTCAAAACCATCTAATGTCTGCAGTAGCAAGCAATGTTCCCACTATGTAGCAACCAAACACTACATTGTAGCTGTAGCGTCATTCTCAGGAATGATTGCACAAAATGATTGCACTCCGCTAAAGATTTTGAAAATTAAAATCTTATCTCTTCTTTTTCTTACATTTAAATTTCTCAATTTTACTTTGCAGGAGTAGGTTATTATCATGACGGGGAGCTGTAGGTCAAATTATCATATGTGCAAATGTTTGACAAGTACTGCGTTAAGTGAAGGTGATCACTACTACACTACATCACATTGCCTTGACTGATTCATCTAACATGGATACAGTTGTCCCACAGATGCCAATAGTGAGTAACACAGAACCTTTATATTCAGTTAATTATTTCAGCACTCTTTTACAGCTCTTTAAACAACAACAGACACAAACTGCTGTAAGTGAAAACACATGTACACTTGTGTAATGAAATGATGGGTTCAGACTACAGGGTAACAAGCCATACCCATATATCTGTTTACACTGACAAACCGCTCACTACTTAAATACACATTAAAGCTTTCTACAGCCTCGGTCTGTGCTGTCATGTAATTATCATTTTACACTGGACTATTTGAACGTGAGGACATGTAACGTAATGTAATCTAATATAATCTAATGATCAATGTCTTGAATCTAAAAACAAGGACTACTTATGGCGTAAACTAGGATGGTATTGACACTGACGCAAATGTCTTACATTATTGATAAACAAAGCTATTTACTGCAACATCTGCGGTCATGTTGCAGGAGTAGAACGCTGGCGAGAATGTCTTTGTGGATCTATGAGTGAAATTGCAATAAGAAAAGGCAACACTGACCTAGAAAGCTTTCAAGCTTTTTCCTTGCTTCCCCTGCCAAGAGATCAGAAAAGGTCTACTCCAGCCACAGGGGTTTCAGATACAGTGACTGCAACAGGCCATTAGTCTAAAAACTGCTCCAAATGAGTGGTACAGAGCCTATGTGGCTCCAACCTGAGGAGACTGCTGAGAGCCATGTTATGGTTTCACAGCTCAGCAAAAGAAGAAGTAAGCTGCCAAACACACAGGAACTATATATGTGAAGTACATGAGCGCCAAACGAAACTCCTTGCTGAGGAGGCTTCCAAAGGCAAAAGTGAGACAAAGGCCCTGAACCTGGAAGGAAGCTGTTTAACAGTAGTAGTCTGTATCTACATCTTTCTGCACGTCAAAGCAAAGCTCTGACCCTAGACCTCCTGGTTATTGAATGAGGACTAGACTGAGATGAAGGCTGAATACCTTTTTGCCAGGGTAAAATAAGCAGTTAGGTCTGAGCTACTTCTGAATTAGCAGAGGTAGCTCTTTACACAAGTATTTTTACTTTCTTTAAAGTAGACATCACTGTTGCGGTGGCAGCCCGGCTGACGGTGAGTGCCCTATGCTCTTTTGTTTCTTTTTTACTTCGTCTCGCATTTCTGTTTTCTCCCACGTGTTTCCTCCCCTCTCCCTCTGTGTGTGCTCTCTCCCTCTCCGCCCTGGAGCCCGCCTGATGACCCGCACCTGTGTCTCGTCAACCTCCACCCCCGCCCGCCACACCTGCCTGCCATCAGCCTCATCTTCAACAGTATTTCTACCCCGGTTGTCCACTCCATCTCCGCTTGATCGTCGTCGCTCCAGTCCTGGTGCCACTTCAACGTTCCAAGCTCTCAGATACCTTGTTCCCTAACCTGTTGTCTCCCGAGACTAACCCTGTTTTTTCTTTCTCCCTGCCAGGTCCACTCACCTCCGCCATCCAGTCAGTCAGCTGGGCTCGCCTACCTGCCTTCTCCCCTCGCCTCGCCTCGGCGGCGTTCCCCCGGCTTCCCTCCACGCTCCTCACCTCTCTCGCCTCGGCCTCCAGCCCCCTCTCAGTCGCCTCGCTCGAGCCTTGCCAGCCCCGCCAGCTCCACGCCCACGTCTGCCGGCGTCCAGCTTACCTCTTTTCACCTCCCGTCTCCTCCGTCCCCTCTTCCCTTTTTCCCTCAATAAACCTCTTTTGTAAACTGACAAGCGTTGTGTTTGGGTCCGTTCTGTCCGAAACCACAACACATCACACTAGATCGTTATTATCAAGCTACATCACGTCACGCTGATCAGCTCAGTTACTCTGCTAATTCTACCAACACTAATTACTCCATCCACCACCCCAAACCCCTCCTCATTTCACTGTAGTTATATTGTTATCTTGCTGAGCTCTGTGTTCATCTATGTTTCTATAAATCTGATGCTGTATCCTAAGTGTGCGCTCTCAGCAGAATCTTCCTTGCTGCTCAGATTCTTTGAAAGCACCCAAAAAGAGCAGACCATAACCATTTGCAAAGAAAAGTCAATTCTTTGATGTGTCTCTGAAATATACTCAGTTGCTTCTGGTATAGCGTCTTTCTTTCATCAGAGGTGTAGCTGCAGCATAGCTACTTCAGGAGTAGCTTGTGGCCTGAAGCTGCTGTACAATTATAAAGTAGCTTCTTCACCACTAAGGTCGACTTGACTGCTGTTCCTACTGAGACAGAAGATACTGAATGACCAGTGAAGCCCCACAAAACTCAGAAAACTGCATATGTCCCATTAAAGCCCTGAGGCGAGGTGAGACTCACAGGTGCAGAGCCATTCTTGATGGTGACGCTGGGTGTGGTTGCCCTCAGTGCTCCAGTGACACCGTGGTAGTACCTGAAGCAGACCTGGGTCTCCGCTGAGGAAGACACACAGATAGAGAGCAAATCAAACAAGAATTAGTGTCCGTTCTATCTGAATCTTACTCCACATTGCACTTCAAAAGGCCTGATGATTGACAGTGATTTATTTATTTTCCAACATGCTCTAAACAGTTTCTGAGGTTTGTTTGACGCCCTGCTTGATGTCCCATGTGATCATGTCCATTTGAATTGTTTAGATGAGAGTCTGTAGTAACTTTACACTGAATCTACTCCTACACAGTTATACACAGGTATATAAAAAGACATGTACAAGTATGTAGTATGAATATACTGTGTGTACAGGTATCTAATTAACAGTTAAGACACATTTTGGTAATATTGTAGTCATCTACTATCTACCTAACAAACTACGGAGGTGGTGGTGGGTGGGGTTATTACAGATGTTCTGACACGTCCTTAGTGGCTTTGAATGATTCATCCAACTGAATCAATATTTGAAATGGTACATTATAATTTATTAATGATGACTATTTAATATTACATAACACATGTTTGCTGTACTTTAACCAGTTAAAACTAAAAAAGAAAGCAACAGGAATGAGGTAAAGAAGAGATGTTTTTTTATTATGGATTGTAATGACTTCACTCATTTGTGAAGTTAGCAGTGATTGCTGATAGGGGATATCTATCTACCTATTTCTGGGAATCAATGGTATTTTGGAAAATAGGGGAAGTAGAGCGAAAAAGGCTTGGGGGAAAGGAGAAGATTAAGGTCATAGTAAAGCTCTGTGTTTGTCTGTTTGTTGGACCAGACATGAAGAGGGGGAACACACAGCACCACTGCATGCAAGCGATTGAATGTATACAACTATGTCTGCAGTCAGTGTCTGACAGCCTAAAATGGTTTGATAACACTCAGATTATGAAATCAGTTCTCTAATCTACATCAGATAAAACAAATATCCACAGCATGAACAGTTAGTAGGAGACATAACTGCAGCTTGGTTAGCTGCTTGTAGTTGTTAAAGGTAATAATCATTGCAACAACTATAGCACAGGGCAGTCATAAGCATTTTCTATAGTTTATTTATTACTAAATTGTTTTATTAGTTATGTTGTGCTGGCCAAGATGACTGCTGCATGGATTAACAGAGTAGATTTGATTTCTCTCTCATCTTTTTTGTCAACTAAGAATTTAATTTTAGCACCACGAGTGGCTTCACTAAAAGGGTTCTGAAAGTGGTTTCATGAACCAAAGATTAGGACAAGAGTCTGTACCACAGAGAGGAGAGTGTTACCTTACAGCAAATGGTCTATCATTAGAAACGGCTACTCTGGCCATGTATGCTCATTATTTAACCAAGTGAGAAATTATCGTAGAGGTCAAGTAACACAACAAGTCCAATTCATTCTAGGGAGGTATGGACCAAAATCCACTAAATGTCTTATGAGCTGATGCACAAATATTCTTCATCATGGCCCAACTCTGATCTCTGTACTGGAAAAACAAATGTATACCGTAGGGAATGGAATCTAATAGCATACACAGTATTAGAGATTTGTTTTAAGACTGTGTATTTATGTCCTGTGGAGATTTAAATAAACAATTTCCAAAAATTTCCACACAAGAAATTATGTAACATCTAGACTCAATAGCGTCACAGACAACAGTTGACTGCATTATATTTATAGAAATATACATCAGCTGCTCAGAAATAGCAGCTGTTATTTAACAGTGTACTTGGCTAAACACAGGACTGTTCGCTTTTGTAAATGTGCATTGTAGTTTGTTTCATCTGGTGTCTTTTGCTTTTGTTTGACTGATAAATAACTGCTTGTGAATATACGAAGGTTACGATATGGTAACCCTAGTTCTATTAGCACAGGCGGAGCCCTCTACTGGACTCTATGGGTACTACCTCTCCTCCTATCACACGCACGTACTCGCCCACTGAAATTTTGAATACTGTAAGTAGCCGACCACTTGGACGTCGCTACTGTACGTCCGTACCGTATAAATAGCGGTGTCCTCACTGCTCAGCATCCAACCAACCCTTCAGCAGACGGCGGTGGAGCGGCAGGGCTCCATCGTAGAGGGCTCCGCCTGTGCTAATAGAACTAGGGTTACCATATCGTAAGCTTCGTTCTATCTCACACAGGCTCCGCCCTCTACTGGACTCTATGGGTACAGTGGGTGGAGCCCGATGACTGTCCGCCCAGCCGCGACAAGCCACAGCTCACCTCACTGACACGATCGGCCCCAGGTCACCAGTCACAGGCCCTAGGCTGCCTCCATCCTAAGCGATGGGGCAGTGGGCCACCCCTCAGAAAGGTCACTAGACCGCTAGGGGTTTGGCATGACCAGATGGATCTGATCCAGCCAGATCCAGCACCTGAACTGTCCTGACCCCTACAGGGGACATCACAGTCAGTGTAAGAATGTTTTCCCCGACAACCGGTAGTCTATGGTAGACACCAGTCGTCTTCCTCACAGATCCTGAGTCGCACCTGTGAGCACAGATCCTGAGAAGGAGCCCGACACATCCAAGAGGTAAAAACGCACTAATGGACATGGTGAAGACCACAATGCCGTTGTGCAAATCTCCTCGACGCTCACCCCGTTGAAGAGGGCCGTTGACACAGCCACACCTCGTGTGGAGTGAGCCCGGCCCACCGAGGGTGGGTCTTTCCCCGCCTGCACGTAGGCCTGTGAGATACAGTCACAAAGCCATCCGGCTAGGCGCATCTTGGATAGAGCTTTACCGATCGCACCGTCACCAAAGCAAACAAGCAGTTGATCAGTGCTGATCGAATGGGGGCCGTGCGCTTCATATAATGTGTCAGGGCGCGCACAGGACAAAACCGATGCAGCCTCGCCTCCCTAGGCCCAGGGTGGGGCAGAGGGTGGAAGACATCCAAATGTATGGTCCTCGACCTGAACAAGCTTCTTATGTTCTTAGGAACAAAGGAGGGGTTCGGTCTTAACACTGCTGCACTGTGGTCACCACGAAGCAGCATGCAGCTGGGATGAACTGACAGGGCGCACAGCTCACTCACCCTCTTGGCAGAGGTGAGAGCCAGTAACAAGGCTGTCTTGAGAGATAGCATCTTCAAGGAGGACTGTTCCAGGGGCTCGTAGGGGTTTGACCTCAGAGCCTCTAGTACCAGTGGCAGGTCCCACTGGGGTGCAGAGACACGTAGCACCGGTCGTTGTCTCCTCACACCCTGCAGAAAACGCTTCACGAGGGGGTGGGTGAAGACAGGTCTGTCGCCAAACCCCTCATGACAAGATGAGATAGCTGCCGCATACACCTTAATGGTTGAGTGTGACAGTCCCTTCTCCATTAGGCCCTGCAAGAAGAAAAGGATGGATCCCACTGAGCAGGTTATGGGATCCATTTCCTTCTCAATGCACCAGCGCTGAAAGCCCAGCCACTTAGCTTTGTAGCAGGAAGTGGTGGAGCCTGCCCTCGCCGCCTGGATGGTATGTACCACCTCTGCGGACAGCCCAGCCTGTCTCAACCTCTCCCTTTCAGGAGCCAAACCTGGAGAGGTTGGCCGAGCACCGGCAGCGTGCCTATGGCTCCTGGCTCCTGACTCCTGTGACAGAGCCCCCCAGACCTGAGACACAGGCCAGGGCTCCGTCACTGCCAGCTGCGTCACCTCTGCGTACCACCCCGCCGATCTGCGGCTGGGGGCTACCAGGATGACTGACAACCCTTCCTGTCTCACCCTCTCCAGCAGGGGGGGGGGGTGAGATGGAGTGGGGGGAAAGCATACAGCAGCCCTTTTGGCCATGGCGCGTGTGCAAACGCGTCCACGCCCAAGGGCGGGCTGTTCTGTAGTAGGATCGAGAACCACAGCGGGCAGTGGGTGTTGTGCCGTCTGGCAAACAGGTCCACCTGCGCCGTCCCGAAGCGAGACCAGATCTGCTGTATTATATCGGGGTGCAGTCTCCACTCGCTCTGTGGGGGACCGCCCCTCGACATGAGGTCGGCCCCCCTGTTCTCCGAGCCTGGGACGTGAAGGGCCTTCAGAGACAGCAAGTGTGCTGCAGCCCATGTCCATAGGTCCTCTGCTAACGTCAACAGAGCTGCGGATCGGACTCCGCCCTGTCTGTTGATGTAGGCGACTGTTGTGCGGTTGTCTGTCCTCACCAGCACGTGCCTGCCCTGGACTAAGGCTTTGTGGTGCTGGAGGACCAGAAAAACCGCCTGGACCTCCACTGGGGGGGCATCACCATGCATCGCTTGTGCCTCTTGAGGTTTAGATGCAGGCTGGTAAACCAGCGTTGTAGCCGCCGCATGTGTAGCAGGCCCAGGGTAACTACTGGATGGGCTGCTGCCATGAGCCCCAGCAGCTGCATTACTGCCAGCGCCGTCACAGCAGTTCTCAGCTGGAGCTTGTGGACCGCTTGAAGAAGGGTCGTCTGTCTGAGTTCCGACAGATGAGCTCTCAAGCTGGCTGAGTTGAGCACAACCCCCAAATACTCCACCTCCTGGCGGGGATAGGGGGAGCGCTTCTCCCAGTTGATTGCAAAGCCCAGGTTGTTCAGATGCAAAATCAACTGAGCTGTGTGGAAAATTGCCCATTGTTTTGACCTGGCCATGACAATGAGGTCGTCTAAGTAGAAAAAGACTCTCATGCCCTGATCACGCAATGGTAGCAGTGCGGCGTCTACGCACTTGCTGAATGTGCGTGGGGCCAGTGAGTAGCCAAAGGGGAGTCTGGTGTATTCGTAAGCCACCCCCTGGAAGGCAAAACGCAGAAACTTCCTGTGTTTCCGGGCTACCTCGACATGTAAGTAGGCGTCTTTCAGGTCTATGGTCGTCAACCAATCGCCGGGCTGCACTAGCTCTAGCAGTTTCCTGAGTGTCAGCATGCGGAACGGTTTCCGTGCAATATGCTGGTTCAGGTAGCGGAGATCCAGGATGGGTCTGAAGCCTCCAGTCTTCTTGGGGACCAGGAAGTACGTGGAGTAAAGACCCTTGTACGTGTCATGGGTTGGAACGACAGAGATAGCCTGTTTCTGCAG